GTTTTTGGAGCTTCATTACAAGTTGGGGTTGGTTGTGAATTTTGTGTCACACAACCTTCCCCAATGTCCTCATCACTTCCAGAAAAATGCATTGTACCTTCATCAATTGCTTCATGTGGAACGGTGCCACCTTCAAGCAAGTCTAAAATGTTTGGCTCATCACACACATGCTCAACGTACACATCTATAATTCCCCTTTCATTTAAAAGATACCACATGTGAATAAGCTCTTACATACTATTTATAATCTTTAATGCTTCACCAAATTTTTCAACATAAGGATCTTTGTAATAGATGTCCTTAAAATGCATATATCCAAGGCTTTTTACCCTCTCCTCTAAATATGACAAAATTATACGATGATATTCAATATCCTCATCATGTACTTCAGCTTTAGCATACCTAAGATCCCCATTATGACTCATGCAAAAAGTGCCACTATGGTGAATTCTTAATGTCCCCATTACTGTCATATGGGAAGAAAAAGATATAAATTAATATAAATTAATACACATTTAAGCATTAAATCTATAAATCAAGTTACTAATTACAAATTTATAGATTTAGAAATAACTAATTTACAATTATAGCATAAACCCTAACACTAAAAACTCTAACTATACTTGTATAGTAATGGTTGAAATTGAATTCAACACTAACAGAAAAAGCAAAAGAAAACAAAAAAAAAGTATAAATTTTCAATTTGATTACTCAATAAATTACATGAACCCTAAAAGTAACCATAATCATCAAACACAGTTTAAATTTGTTTTAATCCTAAATAAACCCTAAACCCTAATTAAATATCACTTCCAACACAAATCTATAACCCCCATCCTAAATTCCACTAAAAGTTAAACAAGATTTTGTTAGAATAAAGGAAAAATAGTTGTCAATGGCACCAAGAATAGTGTCAAAATCGTCTGTGCTTTAAGGTCCCTTTTGAATGTTCTATTCCTTCAATCTAGATTCGTTTAGTTGGTGGGGGCGAGTAAAGTTGTTTCCTTATGTGGTCCTTTTCTGGGTTGTGGGGTTAATCAAGAAGCTTTTCTTTGTTCTCGATTAGAATGCTTGGAGTCAGACGGTTTATTTACATTCTTTGTCTACTTTTTTTTTTTTCAAACCTTTAGTCAACGAGTGGGGTCCACAACAGCGATAGAATTCCCACTCATGGGTGGTTCAAGCTGGACTTGCCAACTTGTCAAAAAAATCTAAGTTGGCGCTGACATGTGCATATATGACGGAGGCCAACAGTGCACGTGACCCTTTGATTTAAATTTTGCCTCATTTCCCTAAATTCGAAAACATGGAAGGCAAAAATCCATGTATTTAAATATTAGGGGTAAAATGCCTCAAAATCGATAAGTTGAAGGGCAAACCAGGGGGTTTTGCCCGGTTACTTGGCCTGTATATTCTTGCTTTGAGCTGGAAAAAACTACTTAGATCATTTATGCGTGTAATGAATATAAGCTAAGGATTAATGTTTTACCGTTATTGTAAGAATTGTTAACACCTCAATTCCATAATAAGGGGTCTGTCCTAACCGGCAAGCCGTATAAGAGTCCGTCAATTATAATATTGGTGTTTTGTGGTCTACTTAAAACAAAATGTAAAACACTTTTTTTATATCTAATACTAAAGGATGAAAAAAAGTAATTAACGAGAGGATTCTTTTGACAATTCTTTCTTTTTCTCTTTTCAACCATAGATTACCTCTATTTTGGAGGTTGTATGAATACAATACTTTAAAATACAAGACTAAAATAAAAAGAAAAAAAGCAATTAAAATTACCCAAAAAAAAAGAGAAAAAACTTGGACTCAAAACGCACAAGGGCAGACTTACAAGTCACAAACAGAAGTGCCAAGGTAAAATCTCGCCATTGATTTTATGGGCTTCGGCTGAACTCCAATAGTCGGAAGGCTTGGGCTCAACTGAATACTCTGAAGTGGCCCAAGCCCATAAAACCTAGTAAACATTCCAGCAAATGTGAGTAGGCACGTGCGAAGCGAAGAAGGATCAAGCGAAGAACGCGGCCGCATGCCAATGCTTGCTTCCAGGTCTCTCTTCAGGTACGCCTTTCTGGTTAACTCTCTGTTTGTTTACTGAGAAAATGATAGAAAATTAGAACATGAGAAATTGTAATAAGCCTTCTCTCTCTCTTTTTCACTTCGCATTCAATAAAATTGAAATCTCATGTTCTTTTACCATATCAATTTTCCTTGGAACCAAACATTGTTGTTATTATTATTATTATTATTATTATTTAGTTTGAAGCAGTTGCTTTAGTTTGCTTTCCACTTCAATTTAAGGAATTTTTTTGAAGAATTAAGTAATTAATTAATTAGTTAATTAATTCTTTCTGTTTCATTTTCTGAAGAGATGTTTATATATGAGTTTAATTTTCTCTGCAGGGCCGATCGTTTACTGAAATTTAGTAGTGTTTATGTAAAATCAAAGCCGGTAAGTTACTTTCAGGTTCTTTTGCTGCTCTGAATCTGATTAATATGTGTCTAAGTGGGCAACTTTTGATTGTTGCATTAAAAAATAAAAAACAAGTATTTACTGGGAATCATATGAACTCTTGGTCTTGGTACATTTCCAGGGGCAAAGCATTTTGAGAAGGATCTTATTTATTTATTTTTTCTCCAAAATAATCAGTCAGATTTGGGTTGTGCTGTGGAACTTATAGGAGGATGCAGTTAGCTTATTTTATGTGATACTAAGTGAATTGTTGACAGGGGTCCCGCTCTTATTATGGTGGTTTGAGCTGTAATTTGAAGAAGGGTGATACTAAATACGGGCTCGGTGCTATGGATAGGAACAAGAAGAGAAAAGCTGTGAATACTGTATGGAGACCTGTCTCTACTCAAGCTAGTTCCATTGAAGGTTTGTTTTGTTTGTTTTGGCATGCCATTACCTAAACAGACTTTGGTTGTCCCATTTCTAATTTGCCTCATTATTTATTTCATATTGTTTTAGCTGATCTTTTCTGTAAAAGTAGGCAGCTCTTCGACAAATATGGCTGCACTCTTAGATGCTCATGTTAAGAGCAAGGTTGCAAAAAGCACTAGGCGATGCTGGGCAATTGCCCACAGCGCAGACCCTAGAGTGCATAGGCAATGCCTAGGCAGCCTAGGCCATTTTTTCTTTTTGATAATAATTTTTTGATATAATTCTAAGAGAATAAGAAAAAAATGTAAAACAAATTATAAAATAAATAGGAAAATTAAACATTTTTCTATTCATTATTTTGTCTAAAGAGCAGAATTTAAGGGAATTACTTGGCATGTAATGTTTTTTAAATATAATTTTTATAATAAATTAAACGACATATTTTCATTAGGCTAAAAAATTAATAAAAAGCATTTGCTCAAGTGCTTTAGGTGCCATTAAGCACGCCTAATAGTGCGTGGGCATGCTTAATTGATCTGGGTGGTGAAAACCGCATTGAATTTCTATGGGTGGAATGGCATCACCTAGAGCCTAGGCTGATGTGGGCAGAATGGCACCACCTAGAGCCTAGGCATGCTTTTTCCAACACTGGTTAAGAGCTGGAATGTGTCGGCTTGCGGTGATGGACTTGAAATCTTTCTTGATTATGAATTATAATTTTTTCTTCTTTCATCTTCTCTTCTGGAAAGGTCTTCAAATTTACTCAATGTGGTTTAGGCTTTACATGGTAGTTTTAAGTTCTTTTTTGTATAGTCACATTTTCCTATCAGTTTTTGGATCATATGTTGACTTTAAACAGTCTATGTCCTTACTGCTTAGTTTGCTTTCTGTAAATTATGATGATATCATAAGAAATTAGATTTTTGGATACATTGTTATACTATTTTTGGTGGGCTTAATTGTTGAAATTTTTTTGTTGGTTTACACCGTATCTTCAGTTGTTTATGGATTGTTTAATGCAAGTTCTCAGAACGCATAGTAAAGGATGTGCCAGTTGAGGCAGGAAGTGGAAGTCCAACAGAAGTACTCTGTAGCATATCTAATGATGTTTTGGATGCTCAACATGCCACAAATGTTGCTGAAGCAGTGAATGAAGTTCATGAAAAACATTCACTGTCAGTTGAGGTAAATTTTAACTGGTCTGGCATTTAGAAGTCTTGAACATTGGACTTCGGTTCCTTTGACTTTTAATTCTGTTTGACATTGTGAATTACCATGCAATCTTCACCTAAAATTGTAGTTTAGCATAAAATAAATTAAGGAATGAAGAGACATTATCAACTCTGTAAAAAGAGAAATGCTATGTTGTTTGTTCTCATTGCATTGCCTGTCTATTCTAAATGAGTTCCCTTTTGAAAGTTTGAAACCAGCTTGCATAAGCTTGAATTTCTTATTTTTAGTCTCACTCTTTGTTGCTTGATATGCAGGTTGGTGCTTCTATAATTCGATTTATCAGAGGAAAAGAGTATGAACCTAACCTTTTAAACTTTATTGTCTAATCTATATTGCATTTCTATTTCTTTATAGTCTGTTGTTTCTCCCTCAGAGGAGCTACACAGAAAAATATTGAAGAAGAGATGGGAGTTAGGATCATTTTTCCATCATCAAAGAAGGAAGATTCTATTGGTAAGTTGTTGTGTTTTTGTTTTTTTGTGTTTTTGTTTTTTTTATAAGTACATCCATTGGTATATTGTTTTGTGCAAATATCAATTGTCTTCTACAGTTCTGCCATTGACGGTATTCATGATTAAGAAGTTTAAAGATTTTCAGCCATTTTATGGAGTGTGTGAATATGATAGAGCATTAGTAATTTATCAACTTTGCCTTGTTATGGCTTGCAGTCATTGAAGGGTCTTCAATTGATAATGTAACTAAAGCTTCAGAAAAGATACAGGAAATAATTGAGGAGGTTAGTTTGCCATCATTTTGAGTCCAATGTTGTCGTTTAATTATGTTTTTGAGCATATTTCTATGAACATGTGAGATCTAGCCTTGATGATGGAATCCTTTAATAACCTTTATTTTTGGTATTAATCTCAGACAGACTTGTTAATATAGCATGGAATGCTTTGTGATTAAGTTGTTGAGATACAGAAATTGCTTTCTGTTCTCATCTAATTCTTTCTGATATGTAGTAGATCATTCCTCTAATATAAGTTATAACTTGGGTTGGTGTTTTATTTTTTTCTTTTTCAAATTACAGGTTGTTAGAACCCGAAGTCTTGATTACTCCCACTTTGTATCTCTTCCATTGGCTATACACCCTGAATTGGTTGACAAGCTTATCAACTTTCAGAACATTATATTGGGAAATAGTGATGCCTGCACAGATGAGCATGTGGAAGGCAACCCTAGTGGAGAAAGTTCTGAAGATGAGTCTGAGGAGCACCAGTTGGATAGAGGATCTAATGTTGCAGTTGAACTTAACGTTGAAGACAATAAAAGTGTTAAAGTAGATATTAGTAGCATTCCTCTTGTTAGTTATGCACCTAAAGCATCAAAGTCACCCAGTTTATCAGGTAAGTAAATCATCAGATTCTCTAATTCTTTTATATGATTGCATATGTTCTAGACTTTTAGTTCAGAGATTGAACAAAGGATTCTCTAATTGCTCACTCATTGACATAACATGCAAAGAAGATAATATTTTAACCTTACAAGGTCGTCCTAACTTTAAGGTTTTCCTTATTTGTCAGTTTTTGTGTAAAGATAATCATGTTGTTGATATTTGCCAGGTAAATGCTGGTTGTGGGTATTCTTTTTAAAAAATTAAAATCTTTAGAATCTTAGGTTGCTTGGACAGCTCATATGTGAAGCTTAATCACCAATTTTCTTTTGTTACTGTTGGCATGGTATGTTTTTTTCCAAATTTGCTGAAGATCTGTTCTTTTACTTAATCAAAAATAATCATTTTTCTTAGTTTTCTTATATTCTCTTCCTTTGCTTTAACAATTCCTCATTGATGCATGTAACACTTCAAAGATTTGGGGATTGAGAAATCCATATTTATCAAACCAAAGACATTTCACTTGACGGTGCTTATGTTGAAATTGTGGAACAAAGAACGAGTTAATGCAGCAACTGAGGTTTTGAAGGTAACTGTACATTGAATTAGAATACTGGATGGATGTTAGCTAATAACAGCAAAGGTTGAACATTCCATTTTGATTTTCTAAACAGAGTATCTCCTCCAGAGTGCTTGATGCTTTGGATAATCGGCCTGTATTTATCAGACTTAAGGGGCTGGTGAGTTTCTCCCCTTTGTAGCAAATATGCTTTTGTAGTACTTAAGACAAGGCTATACGACTCTCCTGAACCATACATTGTACTGGTCTTTGATCTGCTAGTCAAAATAGTTTTCAGTTACCATTATGGAATTGAATAGCATCTTTTGGTTGGGCCCTTAATGTTGTTTGCACAGAACTAGTATTCACTTCGCTGATTGTTGATTCCTACATGGTTTTTTTATAGGGTTTTTTATCTTTTTTTTTTAATTTAAAAAATGTATAAATAATAGTCAAAATTAATTATGTAAGATATATTTGTATTTTTGACTAATGCATTGTGAAAAAAATGAGTCCTAGGTGCAATTCTGATAAAAAAAATCAATACATGCAATCAAAAATACTTGTTTTAGTTAGATTTAGTTGTTTTAGTTTGATTTTAATATAAAATTTAATTAGATAACTTTATATAGTAGATGAATGATAATTAAATTATTTTATATGTAATTCTCGTTGAGTATGTATTTTTATTTAAATTAAGTTTTATTATTATTATTTGTTTACAATAGAAAATCATTAAATTAAAATACATAAAGTTGAGGGATTAAAATAACTTAAAAAAAAACTGATGGAGCAGTGTTTAGAGTAATATGATAAGGAGAAATTCTAGCAACACTTTTATTTGCAATATCTTTTAACATTTTTTATATGGTTAGTCTATGTAATAACTATCAATAGTTACCATTATTAGTCCACATGTTAGATCGTTCTCTAAACTCGTCCACAATGGTAATACTCAAGACCTACATTACTTTAAATTTTGGTCTTCCTCTCCATAAATGTGGATACAGAGGTCTGGTCGGAAACGCTGGAAGCATGTAGTCTCCGATCATTTGCTGAAGTGGTTGTAGGAAATATATTGCACGTACCAAAGTTTCACAATTCTTGTTGGATTCATTAATAACAAAAATTATTCAACGTCAATATCATTTCCAGTAATTTCATTTTTCTTTTTAATTTTTTTTTGTGCAACAATATTGCAATTAACAGGGGGATTCGAAAGTGAAATCTTAGCCATTTACCAAGTAACTTATTTTAACAATTCTTTTCTTTATTTCAGGTTATTATAAATTTGACACCATTTTTGTTCAATCTTCATTTAAACAGATGAAGCATATGGGGCCAATAACATCTCTAGCCATCAACATTTCGGATAATATTTTCTACTCAGCTTCCCTTGATAAAACGGTCAAAGTATGGCGAATATCAGACCTCAAGTGCATTGAGACCATCCCGGCCCACTCTGAACCCATCAACGCCGTCACCGTGACCGATGATGGAGTGCTCTACACCGCCTCTGACGATGCCACCGTCAGAGTCTGGCGGCGCAACTTCTGTAGAGGAGAGTGGCCCCACTCACTTGTCCTAACCTTACCTGCTAAATGTTCACCCGTAAAAACCCTTACCCTCGCTGCGGACGGAGGACTCCTCTACGGCGGATGCACCGACGGGTACATACACTATTGGCAGAAGGGGTGGTTCTCTGGGCAGCTACAGTACGGGGGCGCTTTACAGGGCCACACTCACGCAGTCATGTGCATGGCCAGTGTGTCTAATTACGTGATCAGCGGCTCGGCCGACTCGACGAGTAGGGTTTGGACCAGGGAACAGGAGGGTCAACACGTGTGTTTGGCGGTTCTAGTGGGGCACCGGGGACCGGTTAGCTGTGTTACGGCTTTTTTGGGGCATTCTGGCGGTGAGGAGGCGGACGGTATTACCATTTGTACTGGGAGTCTTGATGGGGTGCTCAAGGTGTGGCGGGTGTCGCGCATGGAAAGTGCCAGCGGGCGCTCTGTGAAAAATGATTATTTTGAGTTGGAAGAGGGAGGATGAATGTGTGTATTGGATTCGATATATTATTCCGATTGTACAGTGCAATTAAATTATGGGTTAGCATGCATGTATGTATACACCGAATCTCCTTGTTTGCTACAGTAGTTTTTAGTTGCGATATAAGGTGGCAAACCCCCCCGTTTCCCTTTCAACTTATCAAATTTAAAGCATTTTACCCCTAATATTCAAATACATGGATTTTTGCCCTTCATGTTTTTGGATTTAGGAAAATGAGGTAAAATTTAATATCGAAGGGTCACGTGCACCGTTGACCCTCGTTATATATGCACATGTCAGCGTTAACTTAGATTTTTTTGACAAGTTGGCAAGTCCAGCTTGGACCACCCATGAGCGGGAATCCTACTGTTATTGTGGGCTCCACTCGTTGACTAAAGGTTTGAAGAAAAAAAAAAAGTAGACAAAGAATGCAAACAAATTTATTTAAATGATCCCTAAGGCACAAAGAGTTTTGAGTTTCCTTCCCTTCTTCCCTTCTCTAATCTATCACATTCACGCCCATTTCATTTACTTCCTTGTTCAATGATTAGTTCCAACAACTCTCAGACTTCAACATCGGTGGAATTTGAACGACACGAGTATGATTATGAGGGGCCAAGTTGGTTTTGCTTTTGTGGTTTGAAGGCTCCGAAGATCATGTCTTAAAGCGAAAAGAATCCTGGTCGGAGGTCTTTTGGATGCCCAATCTATGATCCCATAGTAATTTCTTCCCTAATATTTGATTTTAAACTAGTATGTTGTTTAGGGGTTTCTTTGTTAAGATATTTCTAAGGTATTGTGTGGTAATGTTTAGGGTTTTACTTGGTATAGATATTGGGTTTTGATTCATTATTAATGAAATGTGATTTTTGACATTTGCAGAACAAAAAGCGACAATGTAAGTATTTTGTGTGGTATGATCAAGATTTCTCTTTTAGGGCTAAAGAGGTTATCTTGTGGCTGTACAATAATAAAACAGAATTGGATACAAATTTGGATGATGCAAGGGGAAGGATCAAAGCTCTTAGGAATGTTTTTAAGTGTGATGAAGAAAAAGGAGAGCAACAGATTGAGGCATTGGAGAAGAAAGTTAATGATTTGCAAATGTTAGTGACACTAACAATGGTGTATGCTGCGAAACTAGAGAAATGGAAGAAATGTGACCAAATTTCTTTGGTCATGGCTGTTTTGCTTGCTATTCTTCTTGCCTTTTTCTTGTTTAGTAGTTGGATTCTACATGTTAAGGGGAACAGGGGTTTCAAAAGGTTGGGAAATTAAGAAACTAGGCAAATGGGGAAAGTTTTGTTTTTGGGCATTATTTGTTTTTTGGTGGGTAATGTGGTTGTATTGAATGGAAGTATTGAAGGTTGATAGATTCTGCCCCCAAAAACTCTAATATAGGGCCTGATTTCTCCCCAAGTTTTTTAATGTAATTTATTTTGGATATAATGAATGGTGATTGCCTTTTCTAGAATTTTTACTTCATTTCTTTGAATATTGATCAAATTGAAATAGTAATTTCATATATTAATGTTAACAACCACAAAAGGTACATAAATAAGGAAATATCACTTATCATTAATTGAGAATATAAGCAAAAAATGTTACATTTACACAATTATCTTGTTAGGATTGCACAAAAGCTAGCAAGAGGAAAAGACATCCACCATTTTCCCAGAATTTTATCACATACTCCAAAACTCCAAAAT